GGGGTGACCCTCTTGAATTTGCGTTATATGTTTTTCAGTAAAAGAAACCCAGCATGATGCATCTACAGGGACAGCAAGTCGAATAAAGGTTTCTGGGGGCACAGTGGTGGTGGAGGGGTAACAGGGAGCTGATGTCAAGGAGTTCAAGAAGGAAAAGAATGTTTTGAAACTGATTTTGGTAACACTTGTACAAAACTTCTTGATATGATTGGATTATGGAATGATATGATAACTCCTAATAAAATGGCTTTGAAAAAAATGGAAACTACCTATAATATAAGGTTATTTTGAAGAGTAAAAAAATGCTATGTATATTCACACAAGTATAAAACACTAAGAAGAGTGTTTGCAATATAATAAAACTTGAGAGCTGTTTTTATTATTTTTTCAAATACCTCTATTTTGCACTATCATTTAATAGCCAAGAGCATTTCACTTCTTTTGGCAACTTTTCTAAACTTTTCTAAAATGTTCAAGTCATTGCTTCCTCCTCTCATAACAACTGAAAAAGAAAAGACGCATCTCCAGAACGTCTACTGCTGGGGCATTATTGTCCTGAAAGGACATCTTAGAGGCATTCAGCTTCAGTAAATCCTGTGTTTCTAACTATATCCTGGACTTTCCGAGGGTGGGGGGGTGCAAATAAATAAAACATTACCACGGTCTTCTTTTCCTTAGTGAGCAATTATTATGGAATAAAAACTTTAAGAATTCACTAGCAAACAAAACAACCATAATACCAACCAACCAACCAACCAACTCATGAGTGTTCATTTAGCTCACTTGTCTGGGAAGAGACCAGCTGAACTGGGCTGGGAGGTTCTGCTGATCAGCTGGGCTTATCCGTTCATTTGCAAGTTAGCTGGAGGCTAGCTGGTCTAGGCTTGAGCCTGGGCTTGTCTTCCCACGGAGAAGGCAGAAGTGAGACAGCAAACAGAAACAAGCAGTCTCTTAAGGCCTAATCTCTGACCCGTCACACTGACACTTCTGACCTACTCTAGTGATCAAAGAGGCCAGAGGACAAACCCCCAAGTCAAAGGGTAGGCAAATATTCCTGTCCTGGCAATGGGTGGAAGGGAAGAATATTTCTGAGCAATAAATGAACCATCACACTCAGGAAGGTATTGTTAAGTAGTCATAATACTCTTCCTGTGTGCTTAAGTAATAGCTCCCCCCACCCGCCATTAATCATTCTATTGGTAGCTCTTACAGATATTATAATCATCCATAATTCAGTTAGATCAAACATAATTTTACAATTGCTAGTAATAGCTTTTGTATTTGATGTAGCCAACATAATTACTGGGAAATCTGCTACAAATAAAGGGAAGGAAAAATCTAATTAAGACTCTTGGTTTTAGAAAATGTTAATATATTTTATAACATAAAAGACCAACACTGCTACTTCATTGTTTATAGGATAAAGTATCACATTGTTATTTTTAAAATAATAGATCCTGTATTTATCTATTCGATTGTGACTATGTTAATACGAAATAAGAAAATGTACAAGTGAAGACAACCTAGATGTCATGTTTAAGCGTTTACCCCAATAACTCAAACATCTATTCAGAGATACACATGCGTGTTGTTGCTAGCTGCCATCGAGTCAGCTCCAACCCACCGCGACCCTGTGCACAACAGAGGGAAACAGCGCACCATTCCGGGCCATCCTCACAGTTGTAGCGATGCCCGAGCCGTGATGAAGCCACTGTGTCAATCCATCAGTTTACTGTACTGTGGTGGTTTGAGTGTTGCTGTGATGCTGGAAACTATGTCACTAGTATGTCAAGTGCCAACAGGGTTACTCAAAGTGAACAGGTTACACCTGAGCTTCTGGACAACAGAGATATGGACTCAACTCTTCCCTTCGGGAGGAAGAAGCCACCGAAAACGTTACGCATAGCTCAAAGCATTTTCCAATCCTGAAAGCCTAAACAAAGGAAAGAGAACATTGTCGGCGATACTGCTGACAGATGGGTCCCCGGGTTTGAGGGACACTCAAAATGTGCCTAGAGAGAAGCTAAATCTCCTCTAGTAAACATACATTAAATTTGTCATTAAATTTTAAAATAACGAATTTATGTAGGTATTTGTTAATCATGTATGCATTTTGTCAAGAGAACATATTTATAATCTTTAATAGTAGTTTGTCCCTTTTAATTTAAAAATCCATACATTTAAGTTTTCCCAATTCTAACACTGAAAATGTATAAGACATATAAAGTCACCAAGCAAGATAGTACCTGTATAGGCACTTGTAATGCACATATTTTAAACCATACTAACTGAATACAAAAATGATTTACATAGTTTCATTCAGTCCAATGATTTTTAAATTAAATTCTTAAAATAACTCCCCCCCCCACTTTATTGGGAGCTTTACAGATATTATAACAATCCTTAGCTCAATTAGCTCAAGCATGAATGCACAACTGCTGCCACCAGCATTTGCAAAACATTTCCTTTCTTCTTGCACTCTTTGGTATCAGCTCCCCTGTATCCCTTCCCTACCCCTCCCTGCCCCCCAAGATCCCTTGTTATTATATAAAATATTGTTATTGTTATTCCTTTTTTATCCTTATTTCTAACAATTATTTTAGTTAAAATATTATTTGTGGTTACATGAATGTATACTTAGTTTTAAGATTTAAATAAAAAAATAAAGTGGAATTCAGAGATTTTCATGAGTCTGTTTTACTACAAATTGATTTTTATAAAAAGACTGCTGTATTGATGTGTAACACAGTTAGTTATAATAAACTAGCATGGAAAAGAGGGTTTACATGTTAAAATAATGTAAACAGACTCAACTCACCACACTGAGGAATGCTCTGAGTAGTATATAAAGGCTTGACTCATCTGTAAATGAACACCTTGAAATAAAATCATGTTTCAAACTGTAGTATTTTTATGAAAAATAATAGTTTACTGAATCAGTCATCAGTGCAACCACTGACCATACTACATTAATTCGTTAAAATGGCTAAGTGTCAATTTGGTTCAAGTAATATGCATTTAGAAAGAAAGTTTGCCTTTCCACAATCTTACTCACAGAGAGAAAGCAAATTTAGATATAATTACTATTATGTTTAAGGAATTAACAAAACCAGTGATGATAGTTCTTATCAAAGTAATTAAATGATAAAAGCTGTGATTAAAATGTAACTGCCTCCAATCTCTTAACAAGAAAAACTCATTTATTCTCACTTCTGGGCGAATAATTCTTTCTATTTCCATCTTTTCAAGCTACAATTTCTGTCAAATATAAATGTAGCTCGAAAGCTGAAGTTCGATATGGCCACTGGAGATCGATCTCTTTGCTCATTTTTCAATCACCCATGGCAGGTCTCTGGCTGCTTCTCCAGCTACCTTCTTCTGT